TCTAACATGCTACATACTTTTCAGTCAAAACGGATCATTGATTAGACGCAATTTGCAGAGTCGGCGCCGATCACTACGAAAGTCGTCTAAACATAAAAGTTGTTTCCTTCTGCAGAAAGGGATGAGTACCCTACCTGCTGTCAATTAAGCTCTACGACGATTTAAAATACACATCAGAGCTGACTCTCACGAGATTATCTTCCCCTGACAGACGAATCGATTATGTGGTTATTCCCAACTGAAATCAGGTACGCATTAAAACTGAGTGGACTCCGGAGACTAGGAAAGGAGTGGAGCGCCTTGCTGTTCTCGAATTGTACATCGTCGGCGAGTTAAATCAGTGAAAAGGTGTATGTCACCGCAACTACAGTGAGAAAGGTTTAATAATAGAATATTAGTGTTTAATGAAACATTTATTAGTAGACTACTTACCGCTTCCAATCACAGATAATTAGATGCAACTATTTTACCTGTATTTATACTAGTAAGCTAGGTATTGTTTTATTTTATGGCTATATAACATGAAGCTGAAAGTATGTAAAGACAAATTTATTGTAATTTTTATTGTCTAAAACGATACTTTCAAGTGGGTCGGTCGTTAGGGATTAATTTTTTAAATTAACAGCCGATTTTGGCTTTCTCTTGTTAGAATATAACACATTTTAAAACCATGTTGGCTTTGAAGGTATAATATTATTTATACAAAATACATCTACTTCTCTCCCTCTCTCTCTCCTCTCTCTCTCCCTTTTTCTCTCTCTCCCCCTCTCTCTCTCCCTCTCCCCACCTCTTTCTCTCTCTCCTTTTTGAAGTTAATATCGCAGTTTTAATTTTTTTACTTCATTTTTTTTATAGATTTATTTTTATCTTAAAAAATCGTGAGCACAACATTTCTCTATAACCACTTTATCACCATCTTTTCCTTTTTGTGCCCAAGACACAAGGGACCACCACAGAAAGCTCCCTCCACGTTTTTCGGTCTCTGACAAATTTCCGGGGGTAAATCCCTGGGGCCCCCAGGTAACAAATCTCGGTGGGCCCCCAGGTAACAAATCCCGGTGGGCCCCCAGGTAACAAAGTCTGGTGAGCCCAATGTAACAAATCTCTGTGGGCCCCAGGTAACAAATCTCTGTGGGCCCCCAGGTAACAAAGTCTGGTGAGCCCAATGTAACAAATCTCTGTGGGCCCCCAGGTAACAAATCTCGGTGGGCCCCCAGGTAACAAAGTCTGGTGAGCCCAATGTAACAAATCTCTGTGGGCCCCAGGTAAAATGAATCCCGGTGGCCCCCCAGGTAAAAAAAATCCCGGTGGCCCACAGGTAACAAATCTCAATGGGCCCCCAATTAACAAATCTCTGTGGGCCCCAATGTAACAAATCTCGGTGGACCCACAGGTAAAAAAATCCCAGTGGGCCCCAGGTAAAAATCCCGGTGGACCCCCAGGTAACAAATCCAGGTGGACCCCAGGTAAAAAAAATCCCAGTGGGCCCCCAGGTATAAATCTCGGTGGGCCCCCAATTAACAAATCTCTGTGGGCCCCAATGTAACAAATCTCGGTGGACCCACAGGTAAAAAAAATCCCAGTGGGCCCCAGGTAAAAATCCCGAAGGACCCCCAGGTAACAAATCCAGGTGGACCCCAGGTAAAAAAAAATCCTAGTGGGCCCCTAGGTATAAATCTCGGTGGGCCCCGAGGTAACAAATCTAGGTGAGCCCAATGTAACAGATCTCTGTGGGCCCCAATATAACAAATCTCTGTGGGCCCCAATGTAAAAGGGCCCCCAGGTAACAAATCTCGTTGGGCCCCCAGGTAACAAATCTCGTTGGGCCCCCAGGTAACAAATCTCTGTGGGCCCCAATGTAACAAATCCCGGTGGGCCCCCAGGCAACAAATCCCGGTGGGCCCCCAGGTAACAAATCTCTGTGGGCCCCAATGTAACAAATCCCGGTGGGCCCCCAGGCAACAAATCCCGGTGGGCCTCTAGGCAACAAATCTCGGTGGACCCCCAGGTAACGAATCTCAGTGGGCCCAATGTAACAAATCCCGGTGGACCCCAGGTAACAAATCTCGATGGACTCCAAGGAACGGTGCTAACTAGGCCTATTCGTGTTTTGATTTTTTTTTTTAAATTTAGTTTATCGCCAGAATTCCCATCAAGGTGAAGATGATCTTTAGGTTTTGGTGAGAATAAAATACAAAAGGAAATTTTCAATCTGAGGTTAAGGGGGGGGGGGGCTTTTAAAATTTCCCGGGCCTTATGAACGTATGTTCACTACCGGTTATGGGGATTAAAAAAAGGAGGGGGTGTCAATATCAGTTATAGTAAAAGTGTGGGTCTTGTTTGTCTTTTCATATAAAAATATAAACTCTAGTATGTTTTATACGGTTTTGCCCACACATTGTATTATTAAACATTATGGAATCTTTAGTTTTTATTTTAATAACACGAGATTTTTGTCAATACTCAATTAGAAAAGCGTTATAAAAACGTAGGCCTATTTATTTAACACTAGAATGAGACTTTAGCGTAGTAGTGTTTTATATTTCAGGTGGGGGCTCCTAAGATGTAACTACTTTACTTTTTGCCTTACATATATGAGGTTATTGAGAGTATACGTATCTCAATCTTTGTTCTCGTTGTTCTTTTACTTCCCATTCTTGTGGCTATGTTAAACTACGATGCACATATTATACACTTCCACATATCTCACTCATATTTCAAGAATTAAAATTTCCCCGCCCCCGGTCTAACAAAACCTACGACACAATTAATTAAATCAATCATTCCTTAACCCTTTAGGGCAGGGGTTCCGAACCCCGTGCCCGCGGGCGCCATGGCGCCCGCCGAACGATTCGTATGTGCCCGCCTCTCACTATTCGACAGAGACAGAATTTTTTTCATAAACATTATTGAAAGGTTGAAGGGGATGGAAATCAAAAGTTAAAGGGGGGTTGCAAATCGCAAATTTCAGGGGTGGGGGTGCAAATCGAAAGTTTTGTCCCCGGGTGACGGAAAGGGTCGCTACGCCTCTGGAAGGAGTGTCGCTACGCCTCTGGAAGGAGTTTGTCGATTTAAAATAGGTGGTGCCCGCCACCCTACCGATATTTTAGAATGTGCTCTAGAGTAAAAAAAGGTTGGGAACCCCTGCTTTAGGGGATATGCTCAGCTTATTTCTATTATTTTTTTTACAGTTTAAAATCTAAAGCCTTTTGAATATTTTTACCGTGTTTGGCACATGAAAGTAAGTATTAAACAGCAAAAAACAAAAAAGGTTGAACAAGATTGGTTGTCTTACAAACCCGAAAAAACCCTCCGCAATTTTTAGTTTTTCGGTACTTGTAAAAACTTAAAGGCTTTTTTTTTTTATATTTATACACGAATAGCAATCAAATTTAAACGGCTTATATTTCAGTATATATTAAAACATTTGTCACGACAACTTTTTGAAAGAAACTGTTCAGAATTCTGCAAGGTCTGAAAAATCGTACCCTTTTTAGTATGCGAAAGTTTAAAAAATTATTTACCATAAAAAAATTTCTATGAATACCATCATAATTCCCTCGTGACGCCTTTGTCTTCCACGTCTACTCCCCCCTGACATTGTGTCTTGTGTTATTGTTTTGTATAGGCCGTTGGCTTGTGTGACATGCCAATACCGTCTCAGAATGGACTATGCTCAGTAGACTCTCAAAGGGACCAATCGCATTAGTGATCCTTTAAGGAACTTCTTCATTAGTTATATGATCTATCTATGAGATCCCTAATAGTCTGCGTAGACATCCCAATTCCACAGCCTGGATTCTTCTTTGCCTTGCGGCTCTATGTCTCTCATCCGTTCATGAAAACAGACGTAACCTGTGACCGCATGAGTTTAACTTTAGAAGCCTTTTTGTCACACCTAATGATTCTTAACTTACTGAGTGCTGTTGTTATGGACACATGAATTTCTTGCTTAGTTCACTTATAAGATTGTATAGCGCCAAGGTTCTTGAATCGGTGAAACTTCCAACCTTCTACCATTTGCAATATGTCTGCCATTTCCTTTCCTTTTTACGTGAAGATAGACAGGTATTCTTTTTACTAAATTTAATGTTTTTATCTATATATTAACTTTTATCTTCTTCTTCTTTTTCGTTCTTTATTTTAGTGTTGGAAAATATTCCCTCCAACACATTAAGTATTACTTTTCAACTGGCTGTGCGATTTCAGCCTGCTTTTCTTTGGATTTGCTTCCATAGCCTCTGTCCAACCAAAAACAAACTACAAGGATGCAGTTGTTTGATTTCGGAGTTGTCTCTCCTAGAAGAGTGGCTGTCCCAAGCTATCGAGACTCATCTGCCCGGGGGGTTCCAACTCTAGACTTTTCGGATTAGCAACCATGAGCTTAACCGACTCGACCACGACCTAAGTGTTAGCTTTATATTCTTTAAACTTAAGAAACCACACAAAAACAGCATTTAAAAACTACTTTGACATAATACATTAAAGACATAACCAGTGTTTCTTCCAGACTTTTTTTCTCCGGGGGGGGGGGGGGGGAATTGATATTTACGAGAGGGTGGGGGGGGGGGGGAACAACGACATTTTCAGGGGGTGGGGGAGCAGACACTGGTAGAAGTATGTTTTCTATATAAATTCCATGTTGTTCGGGGTGGGTGGGGACGATAGACTTTCTTCAGAGGGGGGGGGGGGGCAAACCCTCGAAGAGATGCCTGTATGAAACTCTGAACAAAAAGATAGATATGTCACATGTGCATAAAATGATACATAAATATATAATGAAAACGTCAACGAAATGTCCAACAGATACAACACCTAACGAGCTCACTACAAAACAAATTGACGACACTAAAGTTTTGTGTACAAAATATATTTATTGCAAAATAATTCTGATACATTGGTGCCCATGAAGGTTGAGTTTTTTTTTTTTTACATGAACCTGATCGCATGGTTATCGTAATATATACATATGGTTATGTACAGCTACATGCATGAATATATGAGGGTAAGAATGGGATAGTTCTATGGTGAGCAGGATTTATTTGTGAGGTTGGGTGCTATCACTATGATGATACACGTTTGAGAAATTTTCTACGATATAAATGTTAAGTATATGCATGTATGCGTTGAAAAACGATTTTTTAAAAACATAACTTTAACTAGAATCTATATTAAATGAAATGTTACTGATATTTTAAAATTTTAATATGGGGGGTGGCGAGAAAAAAAAGATTGAAAACTTCAAACATTGGATTTTAAAATGGAATTTAGGAAAGTTTTAAAATTCATCTAAGGTACGTTTGTTTGATTCGTGTTTTCTTCCACATTTTCAACCACCGGAAGTGTGGCGTTGCTGGCCGTTGTCTCGACGGCAGGTGCGGCGCTGGTCGCGGGATCAGCAGACGCCTGGCTGGCGGCTGTCGTCTCTGAGTCGACTGTCGTTAGTGAAGCGGCTGTCGTCTGCGAAGCAACTGTCGTCTGCTGGACGACTGGGTCTGCGGCATTGAGACCTGGGGCTGTGGCGGTTGTTGATCTAAATTTCGGGGAGTTGGCGTCCCTGCCGCGTTCTTCAACGGGTCGTCTGTTCTCCTCCCCGCGACCCCGGTTGCCCTGGGCATGACCCACTACAAAGACAAGAGCCAGAACAGCGAGGCAGAGGACAAGGCTGAGTCGAGCCATTTTTCAACCAGATCTGCAGAGGAAAAAAAAAAAGAAGAAAAAATATTATCGTTCTGTAAATTATTTTGTTCGTTTTTTACTTTCTCGTATATACTAAGTATAGAAAAAGTCTTGTAATCGTGCAAAAAAAAAATCGAGATTTTTACAAATCTCGACGTTTTACACCTCACTGATACGGAAAAACATAATTTTGCAATCTTGTCCGTATGTCTGTGTGTGTGTGTGTGTCTGTCTGTCTGTGTGTGTGTAAACACGATAACTTGAGTACCGTTATAGCTAGGTTGATGAAATTTCATATATAAGTATTTTATCAGTCGTAGATCCGTATCAACTTTTGAGCGATTTCCGATAACCGGAAGTGGTATTTTTTCTACTTTGAATTTTTCAAAAGCCTATAACTTGAGTAATATTTCAGACAGAGAAATGAAATTTCACACGTAAGTAACAGAACTAATTGTCGACCTTCTATCAAATTTTGAGTAATTTCCGTTTACCGGAAGTAGTAATTTACGCTATTTCCGATTTCTCAAAAAACGCTTGTAAATTTATAAAGTACTAATAATATTCCGCACTATTATGCACATTTTGTTTTTGCGTTCGCTTGGTGCGCAATTCTTTTTTTCTATGAGATTCTATTTTATTTTAAAAAGTTTAAGTATTTAAAATGGATTAAAAATCATAACTATATCCCGAGTTCCCATCCCATGTTGTTTTATATAAGAATATTCGAGAAAGTTTAGGGGAGACCACTCCCGGTTTATTTAAAATGGATTCGTTTAAATTAAACATAATCACATTTTAATTGGATGACCTTTAATTATAGTTAAATCATTATGACTTAAGTTGTTAGTTATGTTAGTTGCTAAGTTTAGAGTTATTACTAGCGATGAGTTTATTGTTAAGCTATAGATTAGTTTCTATTGCTATAGCGACGATGGTTAAATACAGTGTTTCTTTCACTTATTTTCCGGGGAGGGCGGGGGCACTTGAAATTTTCCGGGGAGGAGGGGGGGGGGCGGAATAAAATCTCTTGGGGGGAGGGGTGGGTCGGACACTATTAAAAGTATATATTTTCTATATAAATTCAATTTCGTTCAGGGTGAGAGGGGGGGGGGGCGGTAGAAATGCCTGGAAGAAAAACTGGTTAAGCATTGCTAAGCCACGAACACCAAATGAAGTTGGAAATTTAAAAAATAGTTTAGTTCTACAAATCTACAAACGCAGTAACTGCATGTTGTCTTTTTTTTTCTGATGAAATATAAAATCTAGAACGTTTGAAAATGCGATCAAGGTACAGCATTTAAATAGTTTTGCTGTTGTTTGTTACTAAAGGACCATAGCAACACAATATATCACAATTTATAGTTGCGTGTAGTACACAATTTTCCTTAATATTACAGAACATTTGAAACACAATGTTGAAACACAACTGAAATACAATATAAGAACCCCACAATCACACAATTAAGAGACTCAGTACTCAGTACCATACAATTGTAAAATAATTTTTTTATGACTATCGATTACCATCCTACACCACAGATGTAATGGAAAGGGTTAACTTGTTACTAGAGTTGGTTTTAAGCCTCTAAAGATACATCAACTAGCATTGAAAGTTCTTTGTCCAAGTTTAGTCATCTATGGCGTGTGAAAACTCTCCGTTTTGATGTTACAGATTGAATAACAAAATATAATGAAATGTTTACAAACAAACTTAAAAACAAAGCCCAAAGATAATTAATTTGGAGACTGTTACAAAAATTCATACAATTATCTGATATAATTATTATCTTCGCATTGCAGTGAAAATATTACCTCTGA